GGGGGGGTAGTCCAGAAGTACAGTGTTTGGGTCTAGAGAAGAGATGCAGTCCTCAACAAACCTAGTGTAAGGTATATTAGTACAAGCAACAGCAAAGTAGTAGATGTTGTATTCAGTTTTCAAAGTGAATTTAGGACAAGACAGTGAGGAACCAAAACCAGCCTGTGAGTGTTTGTCATTGAATTTTCGGGTATTAAAAAAAAATGATAAAATCACTGTCTAACTTAGAAAAACTTCTACTGAGCTTCTCAACAGTACATGGGTGCCTGTTGGCCTTGTTTTTTGGGATTATTGCAACTATTTCAAAGTATGGTGGGTTTCTGTGTTTGTTGGTTTGTGTTTTTGTTTTGTTTTTTAAACTTTTAGGAACAGTCTAGATAGAGATTTAGATCTGATTCCCTTGCAGTAGCCTTATCCAGCAGAGGCTGTGCTTGCTTTTCTCTAAGCACTTGTATAGTCATGCTGACTTGAATCTACCAAGGAGGTTTCCCATATATCCAGAGTTAGGTCCATATGGCTGGTGCCTCTTTGTTTTCTCGCCAGCACTTCCCCCTACCCTGACCACTGACTTGGTGGCCTGTTGCTCTGCTGAGGCTCTGTACATGAGTGCATGCCAGCATGCTTCCCTGTCACCCAGTTGCTTTCCTCCCCTTTGTTTTTACCTTGTGAGAGCTGCAACGATGGTTACGGTGCTTCTAACTTTTTTATTCTACCAGGATCTTCTGCGTGAGCTATGAGTGGGATGGAATAAAATAAAGTCACTCTTCAGGGTACCAATCTGGAGCTGCAAAGAAGCCTCAGCATCAGGAGGATGCATGCTGTGACCTTCTGGTGCCATCCAGACAGCTACCACTTTAGCAGTGTGCTGTATCTCTTGAAAAACTCGTCTCTAACCTCTGGAAGTGGCAAAGTTCTCCTTGAATGCACATAATCTGTTTCTTGTTCTGCTCTAGAACCCAAATGAGGACACAGAGTGGAATGACATCCTGCGTAAGAAAGGTATCCTTCCTCCAAAGGAAAACCTGGAGGAAAAGGAGCGTGCGAAGGAAGAGGAGCAGCTTGTCATCCTTCAGAAGTCTGTTGGTGAGTGATCAGGCCAACTTAAGCAGCAGCAGCATCAGGACAAGTCTTGGAGTGGCTCCTGGGAGAAGCTTGTACAAAGAAATGGCCAGCAGTAATGTTTATATGCTTCTAAAGCAGTGTGTCCCTTTCCAAGTCTGTGAGGGATACCAAAGCTCCTTCTCATCTAGGGTGATCATCTGTTAACAGTATCAAACAAATATGTTCCTGAACGCATGGATTCTTCCAGCACAGGAAAGCTTTGTTCTTGATGTCAGCTCCATACTTTTGTAGAAGCAAATGTTTGAAAAGTGAAATAAGAACAGTGTGAAGGGAGTCTGTGGTGTGAATGTGCAAGTAAAAGTATCTCATGACATTACCTGTTGCATGCTTCTTCTTTCCCCCATTGTTCAGGCATCCCTGCTGTGTTGTTGTATGTCTGTGTTTGGTATGTCTTTGCTGCAGCCACCAAACCTGAAGGCTAATTCAGGTACTCATGCTAGTCTAGGTAGCCTTTAGCTCAGACTGCTTTACTTCGTTGTCTTGCCATCTTTATGTCTAAAGTGCCTAATGTTTTCTTAAAATCCAGTAACAATAATACTTTGTAAAAGCCATATTTCCCCTGGTTAATCTGTCCTTAAAGTAAATAAACTCTGTTGGACTGATAAGGGCTGATGAGTTTTGATCCTGGAATGAGGTTTTTGCTGATTTTATGTTTCTTCCATTCTAGTGAAAACTTACGAGGACATGACTCTGGAAGAGCTAGAAGAGAATGAAGATGAGTTTAATGAGGAAGATGAGAAAGCTATTGAAATGTACAGGTCAGAGTAGCATGCGGAGTTTGGCTTTAATGAAAACTGGAGCTTTTCTTCTTTTGTATGCTGTTAGATATTGTTGAAGAGAGGAAGGACGTTGTTAGGCCTGATGATAGAAGTGTGTTGTGTTTCTGGTCTCTTGTGGAGTTTCTAAGTGTCTTTAATAGGATAACTGGGTTTAAATTCAGTGTCCTTTATCTACAACCTAGTTTTGCAGAGATAATGTGCACCTGTGGAGTGCATGGTTAGGGATTCTGGGAGCTTTGAAAATAGCCTCCAAGTTTGCTCAATTTTTGCGTGAATGAGATGAAGGTGCTGCAGATTTACAGAATTATAATGTTGGTTTTCCATTATCTCTTTATGTCTGCCGTCTCTCATGGTTTTTGCCATTTAGTTTGGTAGTGTAGTGTCTGCAGAAGAAATGTCTGCTGAGGGCAGAAATGAGGAAAAACAAGCTCATGAAACATAGCTGTACTTCTTGCATGTTGGGAGTTTTAACTTGTGATGCAAATGTAAGAGCATTTGTTGACTGTTAACTTGCTTTTGTTGCTCTGGGGTTTGAAGGAGTGTTTAATGTACCTCTGAAGTCTAGGTTTTAACCAGCTCCTTTAAGTGTTGTTCTGTCAAAAATGCATCTATTCTCAAAATCTCTTTCCCATTCTGTGCTGTTCAGGCAGCAAAGGTTAGCAGAAATGAAAGCAGCTCAAATGAAGAATAAATTTGGGGAAGTTTTGGAGATTTCGGGAAAAGATTATGTTCAAGAGGTTACAAAAGCTGGAAAAGGTATATGGGTAGTCCTGCACCTCTACAAACAAGGGTAAGAATTTGTTTTTAACCTTTAAACCTTTCACTGCCAATAGCTGAAAATATTCTAGATGAATATGTAATTATGGTAGAAATTAAGGAACTGATTCTGCAGTTCTAAGAAATAAAAAAATTGCATTAGTAATTTCATTGCAGTTGACTCAAGACTGCTGAACTTGGCCCTGAAATGACATTACCATGCAGTGTGTTTGTGTGCTTTTGGTTTTTTCACTCATCTATACAGCATGGTGTGACTTGCACCATACAGCCACCATAGAGGTAGCTGCTGCCACTGAAATACTGAGCTTTGGACTGGTTATTAGAGGGATCACTGTATGTCTGCAGCCTGGTTTCTACATGCATAAAAATGGAATGAGGAAGGTTACTGGTCGTGTCAGCATAATGGCAAAACTTGACAAAATGGTCTGATAAGTTGCTAGAATTTTCTGTAAAAGTTAAAATACTTGATTTTGTTCATTGTTTCTAATTGCCTCACAGGTGTTGATTTTCATGTGCATACTTTCTTCCAGGAGCTGCTTTCCTTTCTAGTTTGCACTTGCTCATGCAATTTCTAAATATCATATCTTCATAAACCAATTTCTCTGTATGATAGAGGGGAGAGTTGTATTGCTAATATCTTTAAGCAACCCCGCCAGCATGCTGTCCTGTTCCCCTGCCCTCCGTCAAAAAAAAAACCCCAAAAAACCCAAAACAACAACAACAAAAAACTAACAGCAAAAACACACAGCAAAACCTCTGGTGATGCAGATTTCCTTTGAGTACCAGACTACTGGACAACAAAAGTGTTCAGAAGTTGCTTCTGGCACATTTGTCTTTCCATAGATGCTGCTGATTGAACTGATATTTCTGATGTTTCTTCTGGAGCAGATTACTGTCTAATTTGTCTTGGTTTTTTTCTTGTGCGTGTCTGTTGCTGCTGTTTACAGAATTCCACTGTGTGCCTTAATAAATCAGCATATGAGTGGGCTTGCAAAGAAGTTCAGAGATGTGAAATTCATCAAAGCTATCTCTACCACCTGCATTCCCAACTACCCTGATAAGAACCTGCCTACGATATTTGTCTACCTAGAGGGAGACATCAAAGCTCAGTTCATTGGGCCTTTGGTGTTCGGTGGCATGAATCTGACAAGGGATGGTGAGTGTCTGCATCTCTAGTCTTCCAAAGGAAAATCAAAACTGCTTTGGTGGGAGTGAGAGAAGTGAGGCTTAGGAGGAGAAAGAGAGGTACTAAAAATTATATTAGATAGTTTTGGTTTGGTTTTGTTTTGGTTTTTCTTATTTTCTTTTTTTTCACCCTTGTGGCTCAACAACATGTTATTGAGGCTATTTTGTAAAAGCAGTGAGTGGCTGAGTAGGCCAACATACAGATATTTATCTTGTGTATGTGGAAGTATTCACACCCTATGTTGAGTGAAACAAATTTTCCTGAGTATATTAAAGGGTAGATAGTACCCACACACATTCTTTGGGGCTCCTGTACCTGAGTGACTGACCATGCCCCCAGTTACTTGATAATCTGTGCACTTTATAACTGGTGCTTGCCTGTTGCATGGTAGGGCTTCTTGTTTAATTTTCAAGCCTATTTGTTTGTCTGTTGTACCTTCCTGACATGCAGGCTCCACTCCTGATTAACCTTTAAAGATGTTAGTTTGTCCAAATGGGGCTGCTAGCCTGAGATTGGGCTGCTTCCTTTTCCTCTTGCCATCTCCTGGAGATGGCAGCACTTTAAGCTCCTGCCTCAGTGGTTCAGGGGACACAGGGCTCTGTGGGGAGAGCCTGTTACCTTTCCTGGAGGATGCAGTTTTCCCTAAACTGTTTCTTCTTGCCTGTCTTAGGCCAAGGGGTCATGCAGCCTCATCAGCAGGATGTGCTTTGGGAGATGAGGGTTGTGGTGAGGTGTTGCAGGTCTTGCAGAGCGCCATGGCTCTTCCGTAAAACCTGCTGTTTGGAGGTGGTTGGTCGGGATGGTATCTTACAGCAGTGCTTGAAGACAGAGGTCAGCATTGAAAAAAGGCCCTTTTGGAAACAAATGCAACTGGGATGTAACCTAGTGGATTTTCCTTCAGTTAAAAGGATACGAATCAGCCTTCTGAGTAGGCATATAAGTCCAGATGCCTTCAAGCTTTTTCAAGGTTGGACTTTAAAGGCATCTTTATCTGTAGTGAACCACAGTTAAGCAGCATGTCAAGTCTGCTGAATAAAGTCAACGCCTATACTGGGATAGTATGCACAGAGGTTTTTTTACTAAAATCCTGAAGTTAGCATGTGCTGTTGAAAATGCTCCCTTGCCTTGAGCTGTTGGAAGGGGAAAAGCTCACCAGTGAGATCGCTGATGTGAGAACACCTAACTCTAACTACAGAGGTTGCCTAATTATGCACTGAAGTGAGCAGTGGTAGCAGAATGTACAGTTAGCTTTCTCCAGTTTTTAACACATAAATAATAGATTTTTGTGGGGACCCAAAGGTGACTAAGACAGTTTAATTCAGTCATCATTGAAAGCTGAGCACTGAAATTCTGTGCTTTCTTTTATTTCTTTCTTCCTTCTGCACTAAGTCTAGTTTACTTCCACTGGAGATTAAAGAAAGTGTGAGGTTGTATTTGTTATTCTGTAATGTCTGAAGGAAATTAGATTTAATGATAGGGTTGCCAGCAGGACTAGGAGAAAGGTTTCAGTTGAATGTGTTGTATTGACTTTCTACCAGTTCTGGGAAGCAATCCAATTTAGGTCTATATAGTAATAGGCCTACTACTGATGGAGTCAGTCTTACTGTCTTGCTAAGAAACTAGTGGTCAATTCACGGTGTAGTGGTAAAGGGATGAATTGCATTTACAGAGTACATCGCTGAAAAATACCTGTAATTCAGATGTGTAAATGGAATTGCTACAATTTTTTGCCCCTCAGCAAATCTATTCCCGGCCTCTTCTGACTGTAATGAACTTGGTGTATGATGGAAACAGCTGTAACACATGAACAATGTTCCTTCACCAGCAATAGATGTGTGAACCTGTTTTTTGCCTTTATGTGATTAGAATAAGGTGGGATTCTCTTTCACCGGGAGAATTGGCTCGTCTAAAGTTGCTGCTCTGTATCAATTGCCTCTTTTACACTCCTGGTTGTAAAGGGTGCAGGAATGGCACTGGTGGGCTGCAAAGCAGTACCCCAAGCTTTACACCCTGGGCTGAAACCCGTGCCAGCACTAGTGAATGAAGGTGGAGCTTGACTGGAGTGGGTGTGGGAGACAGGACAGGGGCTGGGATGTGGGGGTGGAAGAGGAGGAGGAATAGAGTAGGACCCTGGTTTTTTTTGGCAGTGATGACAGGTTGATAAGAGAAGTCAACTTGGGGAAGCAAGCATGGGAAGGGAAGGGAGGAATTGTAGCAATCTGAGGTCCTTTTTTACCTCTGAAGGTGAAGTAGGATGTGCAAAGTCCTGTTGTACTGAAAGAAATGAACTAGCATATATCAGAAGGAGTGAGAGCTGGAGAAAACCCAGTTTGCTCCACCACATTCACGGCTCTTGTTTTCCTCTGCACAGAATTGGAGTGGAAGATTTCGGAGTCGGGTGCCATCAAGACAGACCTTGAGGAGAACCCCAGGAAGCAGATCCAGGACCAGCTCATGTCCTCAATCAGGGCATGTGTCCCAGCCAGGGGGGAGAGTGACTCAGAGGATGACTAACTCCTGTGTCAGCATCAAGATTGATACAGTACACTTGCAGCTGGTGTTCTGACCTAGAGCACTGGAGATACTCATGAAGATCTTGCTGAGCCCCAGAAGGGTAGTATTTTAAGACAGCCATTTATGTAGAAACTGAAAGTTTCATTATAAAAAAACCTGCAACTTATTGCAGCTGCCCTTAGGATCCTGGAACACATTTTATATTATGAAGCCTGAGTAAATCTAACTCAAAGTTTTAAAATATAAAAAAAGGTAGAAACACAGGTCTCTTGTTATTATTGTCTTAGTAAATTGCTGACTACTTTAAAAAATCTGAAATCTGAATAGGCTTAAGTGCCCTGGTTTTGACAAGCTTAATTTGTGTGAATTGAATCTAAATAGCTGGTCTTAAACATAATTGGTTGTCGCACTTAATTGACCCTTCTGTCAGCCCATTGTGCATGGATGTTGGACAGCCTGGAGAGCTAAGAAAGGTGACCTGTGACATGGTTGCTGCTGAAGGTGACATGGCTATTTGCAGAGGTATGCTGGCAGGAGGGCCAGCACAAGGCCATGGGCTTGGACCTCAGGCATCTTGAGAGAAGCCCAGAGACAGTGTCTCCTGGGACCTGCTGAGTCCAGAACTCCCTTTCCCATGCAGCAGTTCATTTAGCATCAGGATTTTGCATTTTGCAGGGGCTGAGCTTCCTGTACCACACTTAGTGTGGTGATCAAGAAAGAAAAGTTAAGATTGCTGACTTCTTCCACCAAATCAGTCTGGAATAGTACAGTAGTGCCATTGCCAAATGGGAGGGGAAATGGTATTTGAAGAGCTGATGTCTTTAATAAAGACTTCCATCTTCTTCTAGGTACAATAATAATAATTGGAGCCTTAGAAGAGAATGAACTGAAACACCACCTTAATTACAGATCTGCTGACACTCAAAGCTGCTTGCTTGGTTTGAGTTGGATTTAATGTCCACCTGCATTTTCAATTTGTCTGCTTTTGGGCTAACAAGCTCCAAGAGCTTTTATGTCAAGGCTGGCCCAGGGACATTTTGTTATATTGCTGATAGATTCTGTGGGTGGATGGTAGAGAATGCAATGGTCAATAAGCAGCAGTTTTAATTTTAGTTTTTTATTAGCTTTTAGCAACTTTTAAGCATGTTCCCTGCATTCTGTTTTCCCAGTCAAATTGGTGCGTAGTGCAAACAACAAATAACTGGTCCTTAAACTTCAGGTGAAGTCGTAAGATCCTGGTGGAGAGCTTCCTCTTTGTCTGAATGATGAGTTGAGTGTCACTTAAGTCTCTGTTTGTTTGTTTGTTTTGTGTTTTTTGGCAAAATAGCTAAAACACTGAGTAAGCCAAATGCAGTGGGATACAAACTGAGAAATACTGAATATTGTTATATAAGGCCCTCATGTTGAAATTTTGTTGAAATAAGGCCCTCATGAAGTCTGTGTAGACTGGATGTCATATCCTTAGCTTCTCCCTCCAGATCTTCTGCAGTTAAGCTGTCCAAAGTGCTGATTCAGACACAGCTAGCATACTCTCCTCAACTTGTTTTTAATTTAAAGTTTATCAAACCACCTAGGAAGGGGAGGTGGAATCTGTAATCCATCTTGTATCGCTGCTGTGACAACTTCATTTTGAAATCTAATTTAAAAAGTAGGCAACACTTTGGATACTTTTTTACTTCTATTATTCCTTCTTTTGTTGTCTCCCACTTCAAAGCTTCTACAGAGGCAATAACGTTGCAGCTGCCCTTTTGCTGTCTTCTAGACCATTGATTCATGGATTCATGGATTATAGTAGGAGAGGAGCTCAAGGCAGGATTTGGACAGGGTTGCAGAGGGCTCTGTCCTGTGGGGTCTTGGAAACATCTAGGGATGAATACTTCTCAAATTGTCCCAGTGCTTGAGTGGTTCCCTCTGTCCTTTGCATCCTGCACAGGACAGCACAGGCAGCAAGACCTTGAGCCAGAATAACTGAAGACAGAGGAGTCTGACCAGAGCTTAATCCAAAGTTGCTTGTTCAATCAGGAGAACTGGTATTTCAAAGACAGGTGTCCCTAGGATGCTAACCATAGACCTACTAAAGCTAATCAGTAGAGAAAGCTGAAGGACAGAGTGCATCTCATGATCAGACAATACCAGCTTGCAAGGACCTTAGCCAGTGGTTTCCAGCTTAGAATATGGGGCTTGACCCCCTCCTTCTGGAGGGTGGATGCTCAAGCTGTCTACTCCAGAAACTCTGCAAGTCTTCCTCAACAGCTTTCTGCTTGGTCTTGTCTGCACTGGCACAGTGATTCTTGTTCCCTGATTTATAAAGTAAGCCCCCTTAGATGGGATGATGCCCCCTCACCAGAATGGCTTATGCCTGGTGAATGAGGCATTGCCCCTAGTGCAGGTTTGAGCCCTTCAGGCAGAAGTGAGAATTGAACTGAATTGCTGATGTCCTTGGCGTGTGGTGTCCTTGAATAAATAAAAAGGGGAAGCTGGACTTAGGGCTGTTTCCATCAGAGCCTTCTCTTCCAGCAGGGCTGTAAAACCACAGCTGTCTTCTCCTTTTGTATGGAGTCTGAGGGGTTGTGTGCGCTTTGGGACCACAAAGATGACTGAGGACCCACAGGGGACCAGGACTGTGTATGGGCATCCTGTTGCCACAAGCTGCTCAGCTGTGGTGAGACAGATACGCTGTGAATGACATGGCACCCACAAGTAGTACAACAACTCAGGAAAAATAGAGACAAAGTTTGACTTGTACGGTCTCTTATCTTGAGCTGCTTAATGTGTTGACACGTTGGGGGATGCCATTCGAGGATGCCATGCTGAAAGGGGCAGATGAAAGAATAACCAAAAACCTGAAGAGGCTGAATGCTCTGTCTAGCTGCTGAGGCCCACATGGAGCAACATTTCAAATAGTCTCTGTGCTTCTCTGTATTTGGCTAAGTGTGAAAATAGCTTATTGTAATCTTACTGTCTTTCTTGACAATCATATCACCCAGTTCAAGGCATTTGGTAGAAATTAGGTCTCTGCGGGAATTGGAATGAGATCTGTTTAACTTTTCAGCAGAGCAGAAACTATGGAAGCACACTAAACTAAACCAGACAATTAATATACATAACAGAATGAGGCAATATAAAGGGAGAAGATAATTGGAGAGCCTGAATTCTCATTTGCAAAGATTTGGGGCACTGTTGCTAAATGCACTATGACTACTTTTGCAACCTGTCAACAGTTAGTGTTGAGAAGAAAAAAATAACCATTGGCCATAGACAGGGACAGATGATTTGTCATTAGTGAACAGTCACTCTGGAGTTTTTTTGGGGTGAAGTGCAAGTGAACCACTAGTAATAAAAAGGGGTTTTCTTTACTGTATATATTTGAAGTCGGGTTATATATCAGGTTGTGTGAGCAGCCACCTGAATTTCATGGCAGGCTGCCCTGATCCAGACAAGTCACTGCTCTGGTTTTACCTTTACCCAGGCCTACTGCTGCACTCTCCAAACCCTTCCAGACTTGGAGGGTAACATTTTACATCCATTCCACGTGCAGAGAGAGAGCCAGGTGGTGTGCAAGCAAGCCAATGGAAGGGCAAGTTAAGCTGCCAGTTCTCCAGGTCCTTCATCCAACCATGGTGAGGGACCTGCACCTAGGCAGAAGTGTCTGCAGGACTGCGATCACTGGAGGTGAAATGAAGGAGTGTCCTTTGAATACCTGTGCTGTGACACACCCTTTTGGTCAGGTTCCCCTTTCCCAGGGCTCAGTTCAGCCATGCTTGCCTCCTCAAGTAGATACTTGGAGAGTAGTTTAACTTAGATGAGTAACTATGAGAAAACTGGGTGCATGCTTCCAGCTCTGTGGATTGGGGTACAGAATAAACACCTAATGTTAAAGCCATAAGCTAGCATGACATCTGAATACAAATATTTGTCTTTTATAGAGTTCATGAAGAAAGTAGCTCTGATCTACAGTGATTCCCATGCAAGTTTATAATATTCCTGTATTATAAGTCAAGTTCACAATAATTTGTCATTATTCCCTGGAAATCAAGGGAAGTTTCCTATTTCACAGGCTGTGTAGCCATGCAAAGTGAGACTTCTAATAAAAACCTCAGTAACTTAGTTTGGACTAGCCCTTGTTTTGTGAAGGGGTAAAAAAAAAGCGCCATCATCTGAACCTTTTGCTGCATATTTGTTGGGATAGGATCATGTCTAAAGAAACTTTGCTCTCACTGAGATCAAAGGGGAGTGCTTTTTCTTCTCCATTCTTTTAAATCACAGCACTTCTAAAACTAATCTATTCCCTGTCAATTATTTGGAAGGTAGTTGAACTTGTTTCTCATTACAGACCATTATAAATCACTCCTCATTTCAATCTCGTTTAGCTAATCCAGTCATCAAAGGATTGCAGGAGGCATAAAGTATTTTATTGATGCATTTAGTTCTTCACAGAATTATAAAAAGTATTGAACTTCATATGGGTTATCTATCTGCAGATGGCTCTTGTGATGCAGGGAAAGGCTTCATTCCCTCCCTTGGAAGACAGAACCATTAAAAAAGAAAATCCAAGTGGTGAGAGACTCTCTCTAGGCTTGTGTGGGAGATTGATGAACAATCTGACTTGTTTTCATATAATGTGTTAAAACTTTAATCTCTTGACACCATGCCAAATTTTTCAAGACTTCGCCAGATTAATTTTAATTTACAGAGCTGACTGAAGGAATTGAGGTCAGATAAAAAATGGCAGGAAAAATATCAAGTAATTCTGAGGTTGTTTCTATTTAACGCTTCAAATGTTGAATGTGCAAGGAATTACACAATCTAAAGCGGAACAGTCCATGTACCGGATGTTAATGGACAATTAATGAGATGAATGTAATTATGCGTATTTGTAAGCCTCTGGTTCAATATATCTACCATAAGAAGTCATATTTCTTCCAGTATATTGAACAGCTTAAACACAAAGATGCTTCTCGTGGAGGCAAAAGTTACAGCAATTGCTAGTAAGAGCAAGTCTTAATTTTCCAGACAGCCACTGTATACCCCCAAAGTGACAGTGACTCCTGCTATGGCATGTGTCACCCATGAGAATGCTTTCATTTACAAGGAGGGCAGCAGAGCCAGCTACTGAAATTTTCTTCTTGCCTGATTGCAGTTTATCCTTCTGTGAAATAGTACAGACTGTCTGGGGGTGTTGGGAAACTTCAATAATAATCTGCCCACATGCAGATGATTTTTGTTACGTAAAGCTGAAAGTTGGGA